GGGGGAAGGACGAGGCGCACGCAATATGTAGGCGATACCCAAGTCGCTGGCAACGAATAGTAGATCGCAGACGCCTGTGGTCCTGGACCTGTGGCGCACATTGGAATCAGTGATGCCACGCCTACGTGTGAAGGCGATGGGGAACCTTACCCCTTCTTGTTAGAGCTGGAAATACGTAAAGCGTCACGTGCGCGGTCAGGTGGGTGTGTGAGCGCGCACGGTTAGGTGGCATGGCTGAACAGCATGCTGCGAATGATGCTAGGCATCAATCTCCAAAAATAGACCGGCTATCCCAAAAGGAATCACTGGGGCTGAAACCTGAACCGACCAACCACGAATGGCGCTTCGCAGTCTTGGGCTCACTCAGAACCTTTGCACTGTATGAAATAAGAAATCAGTGAAGCTGAAATACTCAATATTACTAAGCAGTCCCGATCGAGGAGCGACAAATCTCGTGCTTAGCACCTCTGCTGCCACTGCTATCGCAGAGAAAATAGAGGAGCACATATATGGTGTCTGGCACTCCTCCTAATATGCAGCCGCCACGAACACAAAGCCCAGAAAGCCTTACGTATCAAGGCCATTCCTGGTAGTACCGACGGGCCTGCAATGGTTCTTACGTTCCGCATGTCGGCCACTGGCTCATCCCTCCCTTCCCCTTCCTCCTCCCTCCTGCCCCATCCCGCCTCGCTGCCTTGTTAGGAGGCCTGGAAATGGGCACCAACACCAGCACAGGGGGGTGACTCCACAGGGGGAAGATGATCCTAGATTTCGGTGTTGGTGGTAATATTTCGGCCACCTTGGAAGCCAGACTATTACCACCATCACCGAGATCGGAATCTTCTTCCCTCGGTGGCGGCACGCCGCCGATATTGGTGTTGGTGTCAACCTCTAGGCCTGCGACTTGTCACCCACCCCTCCTCCCGCCGGAGGCCGAAAGAGCTGGGACCCCGATGACTCGTTGCATTGTATAGGTCGGGGGCACCCAAGGCACACGTGGTCAATCTGACTGATTGCTCATTCGCCTGTTCATGTATCTTCAACATCCTGCCCTCAGATAAGAAACAACACCCCACTTGGGCCTCAATTGCGACTCAATTTCCGTGAACCGCCCGAGGAAAGCCTGCGAAACGACCTGACAACTCCCGAGCCCCCTCTGAACCCCGCCACGTGTGACCGTCCTCGTGCAATTCCCTGTGGCGGTGGGCCAATCGAGCTCAATCTGTCACCAGTCCCTGGAACCCTTCCAAACACCAACCCTGGACGTGCTTCCGAGCCGCGCCCTGTCGTGAGCGGCAAGGAAGGCACCCCGAGGCATAAGCTGCAGAGAGAAGTTCAGCAAGAACAGCATGACAATCCAACACATCGCCCTTTATGATTTCCTCGCATGCGATGCCGGGCATTAACGCTCTACATTCCGCACTGCTCGATGCAATGATCAGACGGGCGCGAGTATCGCCATTCGCGATTGTCATGCACACTGTCCTATTTCATCATTCTGCTCCTGCTCCTCCTCTTCCAACCCGGGATCTTTTCTGCCAATCGTCCTCCTCATCGTTTGTCCTTCCCTCCTCCCTCCTTCCTCCATCCCATACCTACCTCCTTCTCGTCCTTCCTCGTCATCCGCTCTCCTCATTCCAGGCCCTCTCTGCAACTCCCTCCACCTCCTTCTCCTAATCCTCCTAGTCCTCGTTCTCGTCCTCCTCGCAGCCCCATCTCCACATCCCCTACCCCTCCTAACGCCAGTCCCTGCCTTCCCCCTCCTCGCTTCTCATCCCCCCTCCCCTCCTGCCCTGGCTCCTCCGCCCTCCTCCCACGTCCCTTCTCCGCCCTGCCCCCCCCCGTCATCTCTTCTCCCTCCCTCATTCTGCCTCCCCCTCATCCCTCCCTCCCCCTTGTCGCCCGCCTCCCTCCCTTCCTCGCCCTGGGGGAGCCACGGAGGCGGAGGGCGGAGGAGGGTGTCGCGCGGAGGAGGGAGGGCGGAGGGCACGCGGAGGCGAGAGGGGGGCGGAGGGACGAGGTGGAAGGCAAGGGGCAGGGCGCAGGCCCGCGAGGGCAGAAGGCGGCGAGGGCGGAGGGGAGGCGAGGCGAGGCGAGGCGAGGGCGGAGGGAGGCGAGGGGGGGGGCAGGAAGCGATGGAGGGGGGAGCTGCCCCCCTCGGGCACCCCCCCCTCCTCGTCCTCCCGATCCTCCTGCTGCTGCTCCCCTGCTCCCTCCTCCTCCTCCTCCTCCCCCTCCTCCTCCTCCTCCTCCTCCTCCTCCTCCTCCTCCTCCTCCTCCTCCTCCTCCCTCCTCCTCCTCCTCCTTCTCCTCCTCCTCCTTCTCCTCCTCCTCCTCCTCCTCCTCCTCCTCCTGCGAAGGGAGGAGGGCAAGCGTGCCAAGGGCGCGGCGGGACCCTCCCGCCGCGACCCCGGCTCCGCGGCCGTGGCCGCGGGGCGCCCGCGTGCGCCAGAGCGCGCGCGCGCGCGCCAGGCCTTGGCGGCGCAGGCAAGGGCGCTCTGCGCCTCGCACGCGGGGTCGCCGCGTCAGAGGCGCGTCAAGTGACACCTTGGCCTCCGCTCGGGGGGCTCGGGCAGCCCGGGCAGCCCTTCGTTGTCGGAGCTGCTCGGGGTGGACGGGAAGGAGGCTGCGCTGAGGCTCTCGGCGCTGTCGCTGTCGGACTCGGGCCGCCCGAGCTCGGACAGGCCGTCCAGCATCGGGCAGACGCTGCTGGTGAGGTTCGGCTGCGGCACCGTGTGGCGGTCGAGGGCGCGCGGCGGCGGCGCCTCGACGGCCCGCGGCGGCGCGGCGGCGGCCTCGGGGGGGCCGCCGGCGGCGGGGCAGCCGCGCGCCCGCTTGGAAGAAAGCCGAGCCGCGGCGCCGCGCCAGCAGGCGCCGCCGACGGCGCGAGGGAGGAGGGCCGCCGCGGCCGCGGAGGCGGCCAGGCCGCGGGCGTCCGGCCCCGGCGGCGGGGCCCCGGCCGCGCCGGGTGGGCCCTGCCGCGGGCGGACGGGGGCGACGGCGACGGCGAGGGCGCGGCGGGGGGGGCGAGGGACGGGCGAGGCCGGCCGTGGGCGGCAGAGGGCCAGAGGGCGTCTGAGAAGCCCCGCCGCCTGCCCAGAAGGCCTTCCCATCTCTCTCCCGTCCCCCATCGGCGCACCGTCGAGGCAAGAAACGCGGGGGGGCGACGACAGCAGGGGCGACGACGGCGAGGACGACGAGCAGAGCGAAAAGAAGCGGAGGACGATGAGTCGAGTCGAGGGGGGGAGCGGCGACGACGAGGGCCGCCAACGAGGGGGGCGACGACGACGGCATTGGCGAGGACGAGTGCGAAGGACGGGGAGGACGAGAACGGCGACGAGGACGAGAACGGCGACGAGGACGAATAAGGCGAGGACGAATACGGCAAGGACGAGGACGGCGACGGCAACGCCGACGACAACGGTGAAGGCGAGGACGACGACCGATGACGGAAGGGACGACGACGGCCGACTTCGACGGACGGAGCCCAACAACGAGGGGGGCAAATTGACGGCAACGACGAAGATCGCCTTCACCGTGCTCTTGGGCCGCCCCCTCGCGAGGGACAGCTCACAAATCCAGGCCGCGAAATACAAAGCGCGATTCTCTACGCGCCCTTGCTCCCGGGGCCGTTGAGGCTGGGCGCTCAGCCGGGCGCTCAACACAGACATCCGACTTCGTTTCGTTTGTTGCAAGGACTCTGCAAAAGAAGGAAAGGCATGACGTAACATGAAAACTCCCATGACCGGCTAAACAACACAACGTGGCTCCCCAGAGGGCTGGACCTCTTCCCCGGCAACAGCTGTTCATCCAGGGTCGTTGTCTAATGGTCCCGCGGCCTGGTGAGGGCCATCGGAAGCAAATATTGCATACGAAATTTAGCCGTGCCGCGAGTTCGGTGGCAACTCGTGGGGGTCGCCTATGCCATCTTCCAAGCTCTCGCGAACCGACGCTGACAAACGCGTATCGACGTAGATCGACGCTAATCGATGCTACATGGGCACTTTCTCGTAGATTGCTTATGCACTCTAAACGTATTCGAGGACACGCAGGGCTCCCATGAATTGCTAGACCGAACGCGACTGTGACAGGGAACGCCGATCCCTCACGGGCTTCGCCAACCATCTGCTCAGCATCGTGGCCAACGAAGACCTCCTCGGGAGGCCCCCCTCACTCAAACACACACACACACACACACACACACACACACACACACACACACACACACACACACACACACACACACACACACTTTTTTTGATCTGCGGGGCGAGAGCGAACCTCTTCCGCTGAAAGCTAAGCGGGACGCGCACAAAACACAGACACACAAGGCAGAGGTGGGAAAACATTCCGTCCTTGGTGCAATCAGCAACAAAACACTACGATTATAAAGATGCGAAGCTTTCCGTCCCGAAAAGAACACCCTCCATCCACGATATAAGCATCTCTGGTGGAAACTTGCGGGAGCCTCCCATGCCATCCTGCTGGCTCTTGCCTATCGACGCTAGTTGGCGCCAGTCGACAACGATCGACGCTGAATCAATCGACGGTCGTCGAGGCTAGGTCGGCGCATTTTCACAGATTGCCGGACGATAGCACACGCTACTGCGCTCCAGAAACGGAACTACGAAAACATGCGAATATCCCACGATGTGCTTCCTAACTCAATACCCGATATATAACTCTCGATCCGCGAAAATTCCGATGCTTGGCCAGATGACGGCCGACTGGCACCAACGCCAACCACGGTCAACCAGGGGGCCGTGTCCCACAATTGGGCCCGCTGCGAAGGAGATCCCAACGCACAAATTAGCGGAACGACGAGCGGCGGGTCCACCCTACGCTAGCGAAGTACAGAAAAGGTTGTTGTTGTCCACGACCTCCCGCGACGTACAAAACTGACACAACGACTCAACCGGTGGCGTGAAACACCACGTGGGAAATGGGCTGCTTACGCTTACGCGCGACCATTACACGCGCGGGCCAGCTTATCCGCCAATGTCCGCGCGAAGGGGGGATTTGTCCTAAATTACCGCGGGGCGCGCATACCTGGGTCAGCCAAGACCGTATCGCGAACACGGGTTGGCCGCGAAGCAGCTCACTTCCAGAACACGTGTCAGCATAACGAGAACACGAAAAAACGGTTCGGCTCCTGGTGGCTTCCAGAGCCGGGTCAGCCAAAAGATCTGGCTGGGCGACGCACGAAAAAAACATATAAAAATGGCCCTGCGTCGTACCCAGCTCATCTGAATCTAAATGAATCTGAATCTGCGGGACGTCACTCCGCTAGACCCCAGTCTTCGGAACTGGCGATAATTTCGCAGATCGTAGCCCCCCTGGAATGGTGATGTCCGATCTGAATCTGCGTAGGGCGTCTCTCTGCTGGATCCCCCCGAGAAGCCAGGCTAGTTCGCCCGATCCTCAACTTCACCACATCACAAACAGGCCTCCAAAAGTAGACCCGTTAGAAGGGCCGTCAAAGGTAGACCCCTTCCCTCGTAGCAGCCACCCCAAGGCCTGACGCCGACCTCGGCGCACCATCCTCGACTGTCGAAGCCAGCGCAACCCCGCGCGCGCGACCGCGGCCCGCAAGCCAGTCATGGGCGATCCCACGCAGCAGCCATGATCCAGCTAATCTTCGGACAAAAAAAAAAACGACCGATACGACGGACTCTGCCGCAATTGAGACAGCGAGAGACCGCGATCGTTGTTTGCACAACTCCGCCCGTCGAAAATGACTGCGCGCCCCCGCCGCGCGCGACTTCACATCGAAACTAAGACGGGAAGATTGAACGCGCAGAAACCATGCACGAGCGCGCGCTTTTGTTCGATGACCGCACGGCCTCGCGCGACGCATCGCGACGACGGCGTTTGGCGCGAACCCAATGCCGCAGAACATGTCGCTTGCCCACCGTTGCACGGAACGCTTCGAGCGGAAACGACGAATGAGACGTCTGTCAAAAAGACGGCATGGGGAACGCCGGGCCGAGGCGAAAATAAACCGACGGCGAAACAATATCAAAAGGGGCGCTCAAATACGAGAGGACGGCTCAGGGCGAAGCGAGCATGCGGCGCAACGAGCACGACGAATCAGATTCTTCTAAATGAAAGGACCACACAATGACAATACATTTGATTGACACGGCCAAACCTTTTGGGCGATTTGGAAGACGCCACTCTGCTGGACCACACAGCAGCCCTCGAAAGTGGCGACAGTTTCCCAGATCGCGGACCCCCAAGGATAGCGAGGTCTACAGGTAGGTCTGCGTATGACGTCACGCCGCTCAACCCCCTTAGCAGCCCTCGAAAGTGGCGACAGGTCCCCCCCCCCAGGCATGGCGAGGTCTACGCTAGGTCCGCGTATGACGTCACTCCGCTGGACCCCCCTGTAGCCCTTGAAAGTGGCGACAGTTCACCAGATCGCAGCCCCCCAGGGATGGCGAGGTCAAACATTTACGTCTGCGTATGACGCCCCCAGCAGCCCTCGAAATTGGCGACAGTTTCCCAGGTCGCAGCTCCCCCAAGAATGGCGAGGTCTAAATTAGGTTCGCGTAAAGACGTCGCTCAACTCGACCCCCCGGCAGCCTTCGAAATTGGCGACAAATGCGCAGATCGCAGCCCAGGGATGGCGAGGTCCAACTTAAGTCCGCTGAAGACGTCATTCCGCTGGACCCCCCAGCAGCCCTCGAAAAAGGCGACAGTTTCCCAGATCGCGGACCCCCAAGGCTGGCGAGGTCTACAGGTAGGTCTGCGTATGACGTCACGCCGCTCAACCCCCTTAGCAGCCCTCGAAAGTGGCGACAGGTCCCCCCCCCAGGCATGGCGAGGTCTACGATAGGTCCGCGTATGACGTCACTCCGCTGGACCCCCCTGTAGCCCTTGAAAGTGGCGACAATTTCCCAGATCGCAGCCCCCCAGGGATGGCGAGGTCTAATTTGGGTCCGCGTCAGACGTCGCTCCGCTGGACCCCCCTGCAGCACTCGAAAGTGGCGACGGCAGATCACATCCCCTCATGGATGACCAGGTCGAACTTAGGTCCGCGTAAGACGTCACTCCGCTGGACCCCCCCGCAGCCATCGAAAGTGGGGGCGGTTCCGCAGATCGCAGACACCCAAGGACAACGAGGTCTAATGTTGATCTGCGTATGACGTCATTCCGCTACATAACCCCCCAGCAGCCCTCGAAAGCGGCGACTGTTTCGCAGATCACAGCCCCCCCCCGGGGATGGCGAGGCTAAACTTAAGTCCACGTAGGAGATCACTCCGCTCGACCCCCTGGCAGCCCTCGAAAGCAGTCCCGGGGATCGCAGACCCGCCCAAGGGTGGCGAGGCCTACTTCAGTTTCGCGTGAGACGCCGCTCCGCTGGACCCCCCCGCAGCTCTCGAAAGTGGCGAAAGCTTCGCAAATCGTAGCCCCCCCAAGGATGGCGAGGTTTAGATCAGGTCCGCGTAGGACGTCACTCCGATCGACCCACCGGCAGCCCTCGCAAGCAATTTCGCAGATCGCAGTCCCCCCAAAGAATGGCGGGGCCTGCTTTAGGGTCGCGTAAGGTGTCGCTGCGCTGGACCGCCCAGCAGCCCTCGAAATTGTCGACGGTTTCCCAGATCGAAGACCCCCGGGGATGACAAGGTTAAAATTAGGTTCGCGCAAGACGTCATTCCGCTGAACCCCCCTGCAACCCTCGAAAGTGACGACAGCAGATCACTTCCCCTCATGGATGGCCAGGTCGAACTTAAGTCAGCGTTTGAAATCACTCCGCTGGACCCCCCTGTAGCCCTCGAAAGTGGCGACAATTTCGCAGATCGCAGCCCCCCAAAGATGGCGATGTTTCAATTGGGCCCGCGTAAGACGTCACTCCGCTGGACCCACCAGCAGCCCTCGATAGTGGCGATAGATTCGCAGATCGCAGCCCCCAAGGGATGATGACGAGGTTTCATGCAGGTCCGCGTAAGACGTCGCTCCGCTCGACCCCCCGGCAGCATTCGAAATTGGCGACGTATTCCAAGATCGCAGTCCCCCAGGAAGCCCCCAGGCAGGCCGGCGCGGCAGGACGCAGGATGGCAGCCAGAGGGGGACGGGAGGATGGAAGCGGGAGGCGGGAGACGGTGTGCGACCGCAGTGCTCTATGCAAAACGAGAGCCGATCGCAGGAGAGTTGGAACAATTGTGCAATGCCCAGCAGCACATGCTACGGTCGGGGCGTTGACCTAAGGAACCCTAAATAAGGAACGAGGCCCCTTTTCTCCATAAGTTAAGCTTCGAATTCCGATCGAAGACCTAAGGAAAACCTAAGGCGAGCTGCAAAACAACTAAGGAACACGGAGCCCCTCCCCAACGAAAAGGGTTCCTTCTTCAAGATCCCTACTGTCTCCCAAACCGACAGCGGCCGCTGTTGGGCAGACGGCCTTCTGCCTCAAGTGGACAACGTCGGCGGCGACGCCGACAGCAAAGGGAGTCCTGTTCCACATGAGCTTGAACTGCTGTCGGTCTTTGTACTCCTTCTTTCCGCGCCGGCTTCAATCCTTCCGATATCAGTGGTGGGCGATAAGCGGGGGGGGGCGAGAAGAAACGTGCACCTCTCGCGCCCCTTGTGGGCCTCCGGGGCCCCCTACAGGCCCCCGAGGTGCACAAGAGGTGCACCAGTCGTCCGCCCCCCAGTCCGTCGCCCCCACCACTGCGCAACGCCCGCTCTCGCGGGGGACTAGCTGACCCTCTGGGCACCGATCGCCCGCGCGGCCCCTCAGCCCACGCCCGCCAGAGGGGATTCGGCGGATCTCGGTCGGGGCCGAGCTCCGCTATACAGCGGAGGCCAATCCACAAGAACCTTCCCCTTCCATAAGAAACCCAACCCTGAGATCCCAGGGCGCCCATGGATTCTTCGTGTGGGAACGTCACGCTTTCCACATAGCAAAACCATCGAACCGCAAGAAACCAGGGGCACCCTGGAGGCAAGCAGGGTGCTTCTTGGCACGGGTCTCCGCCATACCCGCGCTCTGCCTGGCTGGCGGCAGCTCGGCGGGCCCCTGGCGTCCCTCGGCCAGCCGCGGCCACGAGGCCCCCCCACTGCCCCCAGGGGGTGGGCACTCAGGCCCAGGATCAGCAGACCAGATCCGGATCAATTCGGTCAAGATGCGGATGCCAAGGAAGACTGGGGTCGCAACTCGGCAGAGTGCGGCACGGCACGAGCCATCACGGTTCAGCGCCAGCGGGGAACAGAGCAGCGCAGCACAGCCTCTGGGACTGCTTCATCACCTTGGATATCATCAGCATTGCCACTGTGCGTTGTCCAAGTTAGGACAGTTCCTGTGTTCGTGGGTCGGTTCAAGCATAGGGGGTCCATGTTTGATCGCCCCAGGAGCCGAAAACGGGCCCAGAAGGCCCCGAGGGAACAGAAACAGTCCTCGTCCTCCTCGCCGTCCTCCTCCTCCACCTCGATCCCCCATCGATCCCTCGAACCTCGATTCCCTTGAAGCCACGGGCCTCTCCTGGAATGCGTTCTGACCAGGATCTCGAAGTGAATCCAGCCAACGGTGACGAGGCAAGGGTAGCAGCATATCCGCACATAAATCCTTGGAGGACCGACGGCAACGTCCGAAAGCAAAGATAGAGGCGCGATGACAGAGGAAACAACAACATAAACATACTATTTTCTCGTAGGTCCGCGCAAATCGAGGAACAAACGACGGCATGGATTCCCCCCCTGGCGCGCGAAGCGCGGCATGGGCGGCGCCAGATGCGCCGCCCGGAGGGGCCAACGCCTATCGAAGAAATCCGAGCGGACCTCTGGAAAATTATGTTGATGCCATTTGTTCTTCTGGGTGAAAAGGTCGCCCCGATGCCGCAAGTGGCCGGCAACAACCCCCAATGGTGAATCCTGCTTACGGCGCGAAGAGGCCAGAGGGCGCGCCAGATCTGGGCCGACATGGGAGAGGAACCTGCTTAGATGGACTTAGGCTTTGAGTTTACCTGGATGAAGGCTGTTAGTAATCACGAACGGCGAACGTATCCATATCCATTCCCACGCAGTCTGGTAACGGGGCAGAATCCCGCGGATACGCGGTCGCACGGGCACGGGGCATCGGCGAAAAAACGCCCCGTATCCGCGGGTTCGCGGCCCAGGGACCTGGCCCGCGATGCGGCGGATGCGGATATATTTTCGCCTGGAGTACCTGAGATCCTACGTCGCGAAAACATGATGCATCGTCAACAAGCATGGTCAGAACCCTAAGCCTTATCTTTCGGCGCCAGAATTTTCGAGCCGGATCCATATGTGAGAGCTCCGGGGCCAGAAAACGCTGGCGGGAAACGCCCCGCTCGAAAGAACGAGACGTGAGGATCTGAGGGCTAAAAGCAAAGCATGGCCCAACGTTTCATAGGAAAGTAATTATGCTCTTTTCGAGGGCGTCCATACAGGAAGGGCCGCAAATCATGACCCGAGGCATGTGCGCAGATGAGGAGGGGAACAAGGGGGCGTGTTGAAGAAGAAGAAGAAGAACAATCACAATAATCATTATATAATCTTAATTTGAGAATTAAGAAGAGCGGGCCGTGAAATCTGAAGGGATCTCACATCCCTCATCCTCATTCCCCTACCACACCCCCCGAGAAAGAGGAGAAGACGAACAATATTGATCAAACTATTTTATTATTGATAACACTAGCGAAAACAATAAGCATAATATAAGAGGACAAAGAGGAAGAGCACGAAACATAATAGTAGTAATAATAAAAAGGAAGGAAAAGACGAGGGGCCAAGAGATACGTACCTGGAGTTATCATGCCCCCCGCCATGATTTCCTGGCCTGGCCTCCCCTGGTCATCGCTCCCCTCTTGGCTGCCCCCGATCATAGCCTCTGGTCGCTCCTGATCCTGGACGAGCGCCTTCCGCTACTCGCAAAGTGACTACTCGCAAAGGCCTGGATCCGCCGTGGGGGATCTACGATAAATTACATCGAAGCAGGCATGTGTTTTTCGGGCATTTGCGAGCAGGCACTTTGCGAGTAGTGAGTATGAAGAGGCCCTGGAACACACAAATAAATACACACAAATAAAAACATTCCCCATATTTTCCTATATTTTCTGAGTTTTTGTCTTCCCCCCCACTTCCCATATTTTCCCATATGTTCTGGAAAACCGACGATTAATTGTGTCTGTGTGTTTCTTTCCCTCCTGAGAGTAGTGGACCGCGCTCGGTGAGATCACATCACGGCTCGCCCTTCGAGGAGCTGCCGCGGCGGCGACCGGGCCTGGCCTGCGGCAGCCCGGCGGGCGCCGGGGCCCCGAAGCGCAGCAGGGAGAACGCCGCCGCGGAGGCGGGCCCGGGCGGGGCGGCGCCAGCCTCCAGCAGCTCCTGCAGCCGAGGTCCAAGGTGTCTGCAGCATGAGGCGGGCCTCGTTTATCGGCGGCGCGCCCAGTGGGGAAGCGAAGAGAAGGAGGCCCTCTCAGAAGGCGGCGGAGCTTCTCAAAGGCCTGGTGCCTTCTGGGAGGTTTCCTGCGTCTTCGGGGAAGGCTTAGGAAACTTCTCAGAAGTCCTGGGGACTTCCGAGCCGTCTGAGAAGGCCCGCCCCTTCTCACTTCCCCCCCGGGCTCGCCGCCGAGATTTGACTACCTACCATACCACCCCAACCCAATCCGAAGACCCAAATTTGGGGTTGGGGGGGTGCGGGTTGCGCATGTGTTTTTTTCAATGTTCCCCAGTGCCCCCGACTACTGGGAGTGGAGGGCACGTTGGGACCTTCGGTTTGGGTTGGGGGGTGGTTTGGTGCGTGGTGACGTCTTGGGCAACAGGAGGACATGCTGGTGCTATGCGCCCTCTTCGGAGGCGCACGTCCAAACCAAGCATACAATGCAAACATATGATCGTGTGTCGTTTCCCGAGCGTTGTGTGCAGAACGCGTCCGCCGCGGGGCTTACGCTATGAGATTTCTGAGCGCGCGCGTGGCCCCTCTGGGGGGGCGAAGCACACATAACCGATCGTTTAACCGATCCCTATCCCCCAAGGCCTGGCCTGGGCCCATACATATGGCCGACTTGCCCCCCTGGATGTGGATGTCGGCTGTCCCCTTCGGGTCTCGAAGGGCTTATCCCCAGCTGGGGTGGTGGGGTGGTGGGGATCAGGATGGGGATGGAGAGAAGAATCGGTGAAACGATACTGACCCATCGCATCCCGCCCGCTAAGTCGACACTGCTCGACGTTGAATAGGCGTTTTCTCATCGGTTACCGGACGCTAGCACACGCTAGAATGCGCCGTAGAGACGGAATCCTACCAGCTCTTTAAGGCGTGAATGGTTCGGAGTGTTTTCTCTTCCAACCCCCCTTTACCCCGCCCACTTCCCCCTCCCCCTGGGTTCGTTACGCGAGACGTTAGTTACGCGAGACGTGAAAGCGTTCAAGATGGCCTCTGCGAGGAAGCCAACATCATTGATTGTACTAAGGTGTTGGCCACAATTGGGCCTCTCGGGGGGGGGGGGCGAATGTACTACGACACCTCTTTTGATCGATCTCCTCCAAGATGGCCTCCAGACGTTCCCAAGGGTGCCCCAAGACTGCCTCGAGAGGTGCCCAGGGGGCCCAATGAGGCCCACAAGAGGCCCCCAAAGAGGCCCCCAGGAGGCTATCAAGTGACCTCCAAGATCCCCCCAAAGGCACCCTAGAAGCACCAAGAAGCCTCGACGAGAAGACCGGCACCATTATATGTACTGCAGGTTTTGTCCACAGTATGGCATCATATTGGCCGGCATTCTATTTATCATATTTATTCATTATATTGACTGGCATTCGATTTACCATTATACTTACCTTTCCTCCTTCTCCTTTTCTTCCTCCTCCTCATCCTCCTTCTCCTCCTCGTCCGCCTACTCATCCTCCTCCTCCCTCCTCCCTCGTATCCCTCCCCCACCTCGGACGGCTTCCCCGCCCTTCGTCCTTCTACATGCTCCCCACCTTCCCTGATCACCTCAGCTCCCCTGGGCATCGTTTCCGGATGGGCCGGCGGGGATACTTGTTTTGATCGCGACCGCGGCAAGAAGGTCGGGCGGCGTAAAGGTACGAAGCGCAGATGCAACGGCCTAAACTAGCGCACAGGAAGAGGGAGGCGAAAAGAGGAAGGGAACGAACGCGGAAAACGAAGGCCAAGCGGGGGGGGGGGGGGCAAACAGGAGGCGAGCCTCACTGCCGCTCACGGGACGGCGCACACCTGGAAGAGCTTCCAAATGCCGGTGGGGATACTTTTTTGTCGGCAGCCGCGAGCGAGAGCCCAACAGCGGCGTGTCAAAATTCACAATCACTATCGCGGCAGGGCCTAGCTGACTGGTGGGGATACGCGTAGCGCCGGGCACTTAGGCACACGTTGGGGCGGGCGGAAAAAGCAGAGACAGCCGCGGAGAGGGGGGAGGGGCACGAGTGACCACCTAGCAGACCACCCCAACCTGACCTGAAGACCCGAATTTCGGGTTGGGGAGGGCACAGGTTCCACACTTTGTTTTTTCGATGTTCCCCGCCCCACCCCCACTGGAAATGGAGGGCAAAGCAGAGCCTTCGGGTTGGGTTGGGGTGGCTTGGTGGGGTGTGCACCCGGGGAAACGCGTCTCCAGCCGAGCTATGCGCACCGCGATTGGCATGGGGGGAAGGTTAGATGCTCGTTCTGGGGACCTTCCTGGAGCCACTCGCTCCACTCGTGCGTCGAAGCTGCGTCGAACGTCAGTCGATTTGGGTCGACCCTGAGTCGAACCTGGGTCGAACCTGAGTCGAACCTGGGCCGAGCCCGAGTCGAACTCGAGGCGAACTTGAGTCGAACATGGGGTCGAACAGATCCGTGAGGTGGGCTCCAGGAAGGCCCCCGAAACGAGCATCGAAGGAAGGGGTCCCGTGGGAAGCGGGTCCCGGGCCCTGAGGCCTTCCCCCGGGACGAGGTCTTCCTCCCGGGGCGTCCTCGGACTCCCCCGAAGGGCCCGCGGAGGGCCCCGCCGGGGTGCGCGAAGGAAAGACGAGACGAACCTGAGGACCCGTGTCCCTCGGGGCTCGCTGCCCCCCATGGCGACACGACCACGACGACGGCGGCGAGGCGCGCAGACGAGGGGAGGGACGGCGACGCGAATTTGGGCGCCCGATAGGGGTGCGGAAAAAATATGGGTACGATGCCCGACAGCAAATGCTGCCGCAAGCCAACAGCGGCCGCTGTTGGGAAGACGGCCTCCTGTCTTAAAGGGACACAGGCCGCGGCGGCGCGGACAGCGAGTCCTGTTGTTCAAAATGAACAGGAACTGCTCTTCGACATTGTGCCCATTCTTTCCGAACAGTCATCGGCCTGACCTAAGGAACGATAAATAAGCAACGAAGCCCCTTTTTTATCCCAAGGAATAACGCATAAGGAACGATAAATCATACATAACGCTTAAGGAACTGTAAACAACGCATGCAAACCTAAGGAACGACCGAGCCCCTGTTGAATTCCTCAGTCAAGCCGCTCACTGTACCAATTTCGGGCGTCCCGAGCGAAACACGGCGGGCGGCGGACGAGCGGCTGCAGGCGGACGCCCGACGAGAGCGGGGGCGCAGCTCCAGCAGCAGGCGCTCGCCGAAGTCGCCCGGGTCCGCGGCTACTCGGAGCCCGACGGCCTCACCGGCGCAGGTCGGCCGATGTCATCGCCGTCGTCGCCGCCGCGGGCGACGTTGTCGTAGTCGTGGTCGCGGTCGTCGTGGTCGTGGTCATCGTGGTCGTGGTCGTCGCATCTGGGAGCTGGGCAAGGAGGAGGGGAAGGAGGAGGAGGAGGAGGAGGGGAAGGAGGAGGAGGAAGAGGAGGAGGAGGAGGAGGAGGAGGAGGAGGAGGAGGAGGAGGAGGAGAGGGAGGAGGAGGAGGGGGGAGGAGGGGGGAGGAGGTCGTATTTGTTGTCGTCATCCGCTGCGTCGTCGGTGAGGCGTCGTCGGTCGCCGTTGACGCCGTTGCCGCGGCGGCTCGGGTCGTCTGCGGGGGGCCGTGCGCCGCCCTGGCGGAACTCTCATTTTAGGAGGCCTGGAAATGGGCACCAACACCAGCACAGGGGGCTGCCTCCACAGGGGGAAGATGATCCTAAATTTCGGTGGTGGTAAAATTTCGGCCACCTTGGAAGCCAGAACCTTGCCACCATCACCGAGATCGGCAGCTTCTTCCCTCGGTGGCGGCACGCCGATGATATTGGTGTTGGTGTCATCCTCTAGGCCTGCAACAGTTCTATTTCGGAGGAGGGCCAGACGAAACAACGTGCGCCGGCCCTGTCCCACCAGCCCTTTAGGGCGGGAGTGGTTTGGATCGTGTCCTCTTCCAACCCCTCTACCCATTCGGGGAGGGGCTTCTCAATATTCCCTATTCATAAATACTCTCTCCCCCAGGCGACCAGCAGCCAACCGGACCCATGCCGACGCCCCCACCATCACCCCTGTCAAAAAATACCCTGTGACGTACCAACCCTGTCTACACACGTCGCGACTATACCCAAGATGGTTCAATGAGAACGAACATTTCGAAAGACCCACAATGCGCAGGAGCACCCCTCCGTCACCGGGAGCAGCGATGTCTCGGCTGGGTATGCGTGGCCCTCCACTCCGCTGGAACTCCCAGGAGCCCACGAACATGGCGACAATTGCGCACTTCGCAGCCCCCCAGAGAGCCGCGAATGCTCGGTTTGACGAACGGACAACACACACACACCCATACCCATAGGGAGGTCGGAGGGAGAAGGACTGGCTATAGTTATGGGTGCGGGTTGTCGGACCCTGAGGAGGCTCCCGTACGAGCGGGGACCCCTATCCGACAACACGCACCCATAGCTCATTCCGTCTCCCCTATGGGTATGGGTGCGTGTTGATCGTTCGTCACGGTTTGGCCTGGGTGGCCCCCCCTGCCCGCTGGACCTCCCCGGAGCCCACGACGACGGCGAAATCCGCGCACGTCGCATTCCCCGTGGGAGCCGCAAGGTCTCGGCCCGGCCTGCGTGGCCCGCCCTGCCGCCGGACCTCCCGGGCCACGAAGCGTGGGCGCGGCTGCGCACTGCGCAGGACCCCAGGAAGCCGCGGAGTCTCGGCTGAGTCTACAAAAAGTGCGTTCCCTCCAGGTCTGAAGCATGCGTGGGCACCGCGCGACCACTCTGCCTCTGGCTTTTGGCAGGGGCGGCGGGGATGCCCTCAGATTGCTCGCTGCGCGCAGGCCAACCATCCGGGCCAAAAAACCTTACAACATGCACTTGGTCTCCGAGTCTGGATCATGCGCGTGCGCCCTGCGACCAGTTTGCATTGGTTCTGGCCACGGACGGCGGGGTTGCCTTCATGTTGCTTGCTGCGCGCAGGTAAGCAAACCATATCATTTTACCATACACAAACGTCGCTTCCAAGGCCGCAGCATGCGCGTCCGCCCCGCGACCACGTTGCATGGTTTTGGCAGGGATACGGTGGTGCCACGTATGCCTTGAGAGGGCGGGTGGGAGTGAGCGAGGCGGCTTGCGCTTTGTGAGCAAGAGGTGTTTCGACCCTTCCCCGACACCCTCCCTTGGATTTTGGCGGGAGGGTCCGCGACCCAGTGGAACGTCCTCAAGGGCATCGGTTAGAAAGCAAACAGCTTTGCCCAAACAATGCTTGCATTTGGGTTTGTTTAACTCCCGGTCTAAGGAACTGGGCCCGGATGGCGGTCTGAAGGCTATGTTGTCGCCGTCGCCACCCCGTCGCCGCCCGTCGTCTGGGACAAGATGGTGATTGTATTGTCGTCGCCGCCGCCCCGTCGCCGCCCGTCGTTTGGGCATGGCTGGCGGTCTGGCGGCTATGTTGTCGCTGTCGTCGCCCGTCGTCTGGAAAACGAGTTTTCGACCCCCCACAAGATTACCGCCCCCCTGGGGATGTGCATTTTATATGTGATTCTGCCCCCTCGCTCATGTAAAATATAACCGTCCCAGCCCAATTGGTACCGACACCCCATCATTCCATTCAATTTTTTTATGCGCGCGCACCCGTTTATCCAAATACCATAAACTGCCAATCGTGCAAATCAACAAACGGACGGCAGGCACATGCGCGCGTCGTCGCGCGCGCCGTCCGATATCCGTCAATATTTGCAAACTGGGTCAGGACTTTAAAACCGAATGGCCCGATGACGTATACACATACATGGTTTTCCAACATCCGCTCTCGAAAGAAAGCCTGCGCGCACGCTCTTGCGAATTCTGGAGAAAGTCATCGGCTGTTGATCCACATGTTTAGCAAATGTAACCAAACGAACCTCTCGCGCGCGCATGTCGAGATCATTCGAACGCCCTTGCGCAGGTAAAGAGGGGGGGCGCACGACCCCTGTCAAAAGTACCATTTGTGTCACTCGCGCGCGTCGGTCGCGCGCGCGCGTGTCGACATTCATTCAACACCATCATCGCCAACGCGAGGACACCATCATCGTCCTTGGTGTGACCGCAGCGTTTGGGCACCCCCAAAAGACCCTCGTCGAGGCGCAGCTGCCGGGCATCATCCCGGAGCCCAAAAACACCAGTGGGGACTGGCGAAAAGTTCGCCCCAAAAAATCAACGAACTGCATGAACATCAGGCCTTCGGAGGACCGCGCGGCTTTATGAGATGGGCAACCCTTCCCAGCGCGCGGGGCGCTCCAAGGGCAGGGGCACCGACGCCGATTCAACAAACCCGCCCAATCGGGAAGCGGGTCGCCCCGCTGCCAATACATGGCCAGGCTCGCCGCCGCAACTGCATTCGCTTGCGCGCGCAAGTCCGCCGAAACATCCCGCGCCATGGTTTCGCCGCGCCCGTCGGCCCCGTCGGCGCCCGAACTCGCCGCGCCGGGCCCGACGGCCCCCCCCCTGACGCAGCGCCAATGCGGGTTCCGCCGCTCGGAAGCCCTGACGGACCGCAGCGCTGTGAAAGCGAGTTTCGACCTTGCGCGCTTCGTCCAGCTCCGCGACTCCCCCTCTGCGCAGAGACACCAACTGGGCCAGCGCATCGCTGCGCCACGCCTCCGTGACCATATTAATACTCTGGGAACAATTGGCGGCGCGCCAAGGGGGGTAGGGGGAGGGGGGAGGGCTTCTTAGAAGCAGGCTGCTTCTTAGAAGGCGCCGGCCTTACATCTATAGATAAGGCCCGCACCTTCTAAGAAGCAGGGGTGCTTCTAAGAATTGCTGAAAGAAGCCCTCCCCCCTCCCCCCACCCCCCTCTGCGCAAGGTTGAAACAGCTTCCGGCGCGCAGCGTCCGGCGCCGCCGCCAGCCAATTTGTTCGGCAGAGCTGCCGCGGCTCGGGCCGCCCGCCGCCTGCCCCGCTCAATGGGGGCCGGCTTCGGCGCGGCGACCCCCGGGGAACTGGCGCGCTTAAGTTCGAGAGATCGGCCTGCGGCGAGACTGGGGGAGGGCGCCGCGCTGGCAGAGCCCGGCGCGGGCCCTGCGTCACGACTCGGACTCCGGCGCGGCCGGCGACCGCGGGCCCCGCGGCCAGGCGCCGGGTTGCGAGCGCGCGGGCTCGCGCGCGCGCGCGCGCCAGCGAATCATCTCCGCCGGCCGCTCGCGCTGCGCCCACGGGCCCTCGGCGCAGCCCGCGCGCAACTCTGCGGGCGCCCGCGCGTCGCAGCCGCGAGCGCCCCCTTGACCATCTCAGTCCGAGGTGGAGATTTCCTCCGGCAGCGCCCCTGGCGCAGATTGGCCCAAGACCGGGCTGAGCTGGCGAGGCGCCAGAGTCTCGACGTCCGCCGGCTGCCGGGCGCCGCCGCGGGCGCCGCGGGCAACGGCGCCCGCGGCGTCGGTGGGCAGCCAGAGAGCCTGGCGGCCCCGGAGCCCCTGCTGGCCCTGAGACTGGCCCAGATGAAGGGGCCCCAGGACACACAAATAAATACACACAAATAAAAATATTCCCCATATTTTCCCATATTTTCTGGGTTTCTGTCTTCCCGCCCACTTCCCATATTTTCCCATATTTTCTGGGAAATCGAGGATTAATTGTGTCTGTGTGTTTCTTTCCCTCCTGACCAGAGACCGCCCGCCGCTTCTTCGAAGGTTCGGGCGGCGGCGCCATCCCCGCGAGGCCCCTCGGTCGCGGCGGGCAGGCAGAGCCCCCTGCCCCGGGGCCCGCGGCGGCGGCGGCGCCGCCGGCTCCGCCGCGGGAGGCAAAGCGCGGGCCAGAATCGGAACCGACGGCTTAAGCTGCAGGAGGCGAGGCCCGGGGCGCGATCGGCGCCGCCGCGGCAGGGGGCGAGGGCCGAGGCAGGGGAGGCGCGCTCTGGAACGAAGACTGGAAAACCTGGCCGGCAGAGCCCGGCCCCCTCTTCCGGATCGGCGCGGTCGATTCTGCGGCGCCGTGGCCCCTCGTCGGAGAGCCGTCCTCCGCGCGGCCCTCGGGGCCCGCGCGCGGACGCGCAGGCGGCGCGCGCGCGCTGGCGGCGCGTCTTCTGGCACGTCGGCCCCCGCCTTCGCCGGCGCGCTGGCGCAGCAAACGCGCGGGCTCTGGCAAGGGCCCCCTGCCGCCGACGACGCTGGGCAGGATGCGCCGGGCCCCTGCGCCCGCGTCCCTCGGCGGCCCCTTGCAGCCGGCCGCGGCCGTCTTGGCCCGGCGCGACATGGGCCGCGCGCGCCGGCTGCAGGCGGAATCGAAATCCAAGGGTT